CCAAATTCATGAAATTCTCTGAATTGTTTAGGTTTACATTTTACGATAACGTTTTCATTGTTGAAATCCATATTCGCTTGCTTTCAAATAATCAAATTAGATTTTAAAATGTATCTTCTGTTTCGTTCAAAACTGTTTTCTGTACTAAATCACGGGTAATTGAAAATATTTAAATATCTAAATACTTCACCTGAGAAGTACATTTCGCTAACACTTATAATTCTTAAAATTCATTTTCTATTTTGATTTTTTTTTAACAACCTATCAAGGAGGACGTACAGCGCCATCTGCCCGCGAATAGATCAATAAATATCGAGGTTACGTATAGCGCCATCTCCCCGCGAATAGATCAAGCAATAATAATGTTGATAATTCTGTCAATAAGATCCCGAGCTTGGGAGTTACAAGCAAACAAACATACATACATACAGATGAAGCTAATATAAAGCGTGCAATAAAATTACAGTTGTGTACAGAGAATTAGGAAAGAACTTAGTGGCAGTGTATCTATTGGTGTTCTAATATTTTGATAAATTCAAAGTAATTTTCGAAGATTTTTTTTTTGAGTCTATAGAGAAGGTTTTATAATTTTTAATACGTTTTATCCTTAAGGGTAGAATACTACAAATTTTTGGTAGTGTGTTTTCAGATTCTTGTATTTCGCAGCTACATATTTACTATATACTTACTTGCTTTAGAAGCCTATCGGCTTCTTCAATTTCAAAGATACCAGGCAAGAACACCAAGACGCTACCGATAATTTTTTTGTTGGTGTTGGGATCCGTAGCGTCGAGTTTGTCCAGAATTCCGACGAGGAAAGTGAACACTTTCCAGATGCTCTGGCTGATTTCCGGCCTGTCTATGTCGAAATTCGGTTCCTCAGATCTTATCGCAGAAATAGCGTTCGAGAGGTTTTCCAAATAAAAAGTGGTCTTCACGAAGAGGTTTTGCTTGTTGACATAGATGATGGGCGCGGGCAGGGAAGTGTTGAGATTCTGGCATCGAAAATAGTAAGCAAACTCTTCTGCTTCGATTGTGGCCGACATAAGTATCACTCTCGTGCGGGGAGAGTTGGTGAACAGGAACCGCCTCACGATCAGCATCAGAAAATCCAAGTCCTGGTTCCTCTCGTGGACTTCGTCGATGATGATATGCGTGTAGTGGTGCAGGGACTGCGCGTGGATCAGCTTCTGAAGCAACACGCCAGTGGTCATGTAGGTGAGGATCATGTCGGGTGAGATCTTTTTCTCCAGCCCTACTTGGTACCCGCAAACGGTTCCCAAGGTCCAGCCTCTCTCTTCGCATACCCTTTTCGCTACGTTGATGGTAGCGATCTTTCTCGGTTGAGTCACCGCTATGTTGCAGTACTCGGACTTCTCCCTGCAATGGTCCAGGATGAACTGTGGTACCTGTCGATAATAACAATAATTACCAAGTAGATAGATACACACTTTATTCGTGTTATTACACAGAAGTGCTCATACATACGTGACATAAAGTAGTTACACAAAGAGTAGATATGTATAAATATGTGAAATATCACGGTCAATGTCATTTTAAACATTCGAAAAAAATCTAGTTCTTAATACTTGAATGAATCGAGTCCCGTAGAAAAAAGTTTTTTCACCATTTTTCCGGGATACTGATATATTAAAGATTTGAAGGTTATTTAAAGAGTTAGCCAATCGAAGAGTTCTGAGAATAAAACCATTATATAAATAATTAAATATGTGTTGAATGACAGCAGATTTGCATCGCACCATTGTTTAATTTCGCTGAAGTCATTACATATGCTTTCATATAAATTCTGTTGACTTTCATGGAAGCAGCAAATTAGATCCTTAAAGAAAAGGTTAAGTAGCAATGGTTCCACGTGTGATCCTTGTGGAACACCAGATGTAACTGCAAAGGTATGAGAATAGTAATGATTAGCCCTTACAGTTTGCGTTCAAGATAGCTCTTGAGCCANGCTGTACTCTGTACTCCAGATTAGAATCCCACATTTGAAAATTATGTTATTGTGATCTCTGTCTTCTACACATCTACGGTAAGCCATGTGTAATATTCTGATTACAAAATTTATATCCGATACATATTCGTGCTAATGTGGATCGTTGAGTTTTGTACGATGAAACGATCACGACTATGACGTCAAATGATGATGGGGGGATGAGAATCCAGCTTTTAACGGAAACTCCACGGACCTCCTCCGTTCCTAAATACAGACTTCATCCGTTGAAATCCTTTTGCGTAAGGGTTAGAGACAACAACTGTAGTTATTTCATTTCGCACATTAGTACATCCAACGCCACAGACTGCAGCGTATTACAGCACAACCCATAACTCATTATTGACAATTTTTCCATTATTGATGAAATTTCCAAAATTCTGATATCGGCTAACATGGTAATGAACCTTTCATGAACCTGAAGTACGAAAAATCACTCACTAGCAGCGCTAGTAGTTCGGTAGGGACAAACACTACCTTATCCTCATATAAACATATGGTAAAGTACAATTAAAAAGGAATGTTTTTAAAACAAGAAGATGTTCCTGGAGCAAAACTAAAATTTGCAACTGTGAAGAATAACAATGTTGTAACATTAAAACGTTGGCTTGCATGCCGTAATTTTGGCCGTGGCTTATCAGTCGAGAGCATTTGGCCAGACTCCTGTCCATAGTGAACAGAAGCTGCCACCCTAAGTTTTCCTTTTTATAAAAACACTTAATTTTTTTACTACGGGGCCACCAGTCCTCTCAATATGATTTTCAGAAATAACACATCTATTACCGCACTGACGACCTTGTCGACATCCAGGCTGGTTACTGGCGTAGTGTTCTCAAAATGTCTTTCACTTCAAAATTCGAAAATTGACTTTATAACTTTTGGACTCCACGACATCCACCTGCCATCTTTGAGGACGGTCGTTATCGGCACAACCGTTCTCTATCGCGATCGGAGAGGAAGTTCCTGAAGTTAGCTAGCGAACATTTTTTTAAAGTTGTTGTTCAAATTTTTTTTTCCTTTAACCAGCTGTCGCACCTCTACGAACAACCCTCAGAAGTAGAAACTAGTGCGAGATAAGGATTCACGAAATCTTACCCTTCAAGGTGTAATTCCTAACACGGGTTGGACGATAGTCAGTGAATATCCTTTCCCGATTTTTATAAATGTATTGTAGCAATGCTCATCCAACACTGTGTGCCCAATATTTTACATAACCACCGTATGAAACATCCTCAACAAAGTTGTAAGTCTAACCATCCATTTATATCTTGATATTACTTACACCCACAATTTTGTAGCATTAACTATTCATTTCATGTTTAGAGCATACATATGGATATTTATTTATTTTTTGCACTGTTAAATCCATTCTTCATGTATCCATTTCTTACATCTAACCTCATTAATATGAGTTTAGATGTAAGAATGGTATAAAAAACACGTTCTCTTCCGGATATCGATTATCCGACGTACAATTCGAAAAACAGCAATGTTTTGTTGGCATTACACTAACACTAACTAAATAATAAATTAGTATTACGTAAATAACACTGTTTCACATGTGACACGTTCACTGAACTATTCTCAGGAAAAAGGCTCATTGACTGTAAAATAAACCTTGAAGTTATCATAGGAAAAATAAATATGATTACAGAGAAAATAAGAAGTAGAAAAGTGTAAAGTTAAGTGACAGCTTAGATTAGCCTTGTCTAAGAGTGACAGTAATGACACATAAGTCAGACCTCCTAATGCTCAAAAATGTCATCTTTTTCTTCAAGGTGTGATTACTGATGTGAATTTGAGATAATTACCGAAAATAATACGTGCTCTCATCATTTATCATCAGAAAATTACAAATCTAATTTCATTTTCCCGAATTTCCGGCGGTTTCAAGCGAATCTGCACTACAAACAATGGCTGCAGGAACTACTTTGCAGAAAGCAATTGAACTTGTAACAAAAGCAACAGAGGAAGACCGCAAAAAAAACTACGAGGAAGCTCTACGTCTCTATGAACACGGAGTTGAATATTTCCTACATGCCATAAAATGTAAGTCGAGATTAATCATAATTATGGGATTAGGCAGTAGGTGAATATTGATATATTCATTTTCTCCAGAGTTTCCTATTTTCACCGTGGTATACCTTCAAGTCTCTTGAAATATAGTAGTTTCAATCTCTATTCTTCATCTTCAATCTATCTGCCAACAAGCTCTTACCTGGATTTTTGAAACAATCTTTCGCATGCCTCTTCAAATCCGGAGACAAGAAAGAATTATTGAACACTTAGTATATTGAATGATGTACCAGAACTATTCTGTGTGATTTTTGGACAGCTTCATTCAAAAACTTCCTAACTGATGAACAGTTTCAATATTATTCATGTACATCAACTGAATTGAATCTTATCAAAACAATAAGGTCTTTATAGTCCTCTTGTAGTTTGTTGAAAAATATGGATATATGTCCAATGAAATATGCCCTCGGGGGTTCCCCAAGGATCCCATTTAGGACCCCCATTATTCAACATGTTCATGAGAGGTATTAATTTTTCATTTAGCCATTTAAAGTTTCTTCTATTTGTCATGACTTCAAGACATACTCTACCACTACTGAGAACGGGATGATAGATCGACAAAATTTCAGGCAAATTAATAGATTGGTGTGCCATAAATCCCATGAATATAAGTGCTGCCAAATGCTGTACCATTTGCTTTAGTCTTTAGTCACTCCATATTACCCAAACTTATACAATCAATCAAGTCCACACCATCAGAGAGCTCTAGGTATACTTTTTGATTATGAACTCACCATAATTCAAATATTTAATCAGAAATCCTCAAAATGCTAAGATTTCTCATAAGTTGTTTTAGAGATTTCAAAATATTCTATTGCCAGACCACATCTGTTTTATAGAAAACTCGTTGCAGAGTACTAATGTGGCACGAGACTCTTTTTTTAATTAGAGCATCAGGTTGGCGAACTCATTCTCTAATGAACTGGGCTTTTTTGCGAATATCAAGGAGTTTTATTTATATTAAAAAAAGCAATCACTGATGATTGATACATAGATGAGCTAGTTCCCCTTTTGTATTTTCTTTGTTTCCTTTTACCTGTAAGAAGACTTGAAAGATTGACATGTGATGTTTTCATTTCATTCAATTCTTGCATATTTTCAACGAATTCATCCTTGTGAATGAATGAATATTCGAAATCAACAACAAATTTCTGAGATTTCTAGATGAGGCCCAAGGTGAAAAAGCGAAGGAAAGTATACGGGCCAAATGTGTGACGTATCTTGAGAGAGCAGAGCAATTGAAAGAAACCGTACGGAAGGGAAAGAAAAAGCCCGTTTTAGATGGAGGATCTTCCAAGTAAGTCTCATTTCCATACTGAACAGTATCAACTCTTGGACTATTTGCCAACTAAACTTATCGTTACGTTTAGAGATGACAAAAAGAGTGATAGCGATGAAGACGAGGATGATCCCGACAAGAAGAAGCTTCAGAATAAACTAGAAGGAGCTATAGTGGTGGAAAAGCCTCACGTGAAATGGAGCGACGTTGCAGGACTGGATGCCGCTAAAGAAGCTTTGAAGGAAGCCGTGATCCTACCGATTCGTTTCCCTCATCTCTTCAGTGGAAAACGAGTCCCTTGGAAGGGAATTTTACTTTTTGGAGTAAATATACGTTTAATACTGACGCGAATTTTTTAACATTCATTTGTTCTCAGCCCCCTGGTACTGGTAAATCATTCCTGGCGAAAGCGGTGGCTACGGAGGCTAACAATTCCACTTTCTTCTCCGTCTCGTCTAGTGACCTGGTATCGAAATGGTTGGGGGAATCTGAGAAGCTGGTGAAGAATCTTTTCGAGCTGGCTCGGCAGCACAAACCCAGCATTATTTTCATTGATGAAATCGATTCCCTCTGTTCTTCCCGTTCGGATAATGAATCGGAGTCAGCGAGACGAATAAAAACCGAGTTTTTGGTGCAAATGCAAGGTATGTAACAAGTAAAATATTAGAAGAAGTGATGTTATTTGGTACTTCAGTAATACTTTGTATAGTTATTGTCAACTGAGAAAAGTTAGAGGAAGGAAGAAAAATATATTTCTGAAAAGTGTTTTTGAGAAGCCATATTAAACGGCTATATTGATTCTCCAGAAATAGTTGAGCTTTGCACTACTCTCTCTGTGAATGATAGAAAAACCAGAAATAGTGATATTTTTAAAATTCCTTTTTGTAGAACCAATTATGGTCAGAATGAAACAATATGTAGGATATTGAAATCAGCAAATCATTACCATCTTAACCTGGAATTGTTTAATTCATCATTATTATCCTTCAAAAAATCGATTAAAAACATCTGATGTATCTTTAGTTTGTAAGCACATGTACAATTTATAAAAAGATATTTGTAAAAATTGGCTTGTCCGTTGAAATAAATAAATANGAAAGTGTTATTAATTCAATGCGTTCGTAGAAAATCATTACTTTCTAAGACAGATTTTTCAGAAATTGCGGATCAATAATAATAAATCTGGCTATGAATCAAAAGAGAATTAGAGCCCTTCAAAATGAAGTGTAACTTAGCTCCCTCTTCATTTTGAATTCTAACATTTACTCTTTAGAGGTGTTGAACTCTGTGGCCGAAAAATATTCCTTGAATCATCTATTTGTGTTTGATTTTTCATATTATTGGCTAGAAAAATGATATTGAGGAGACATTTTCGAATTGACGTCCTGATGAATCAATTCAACTATGAAAATATACACGGAAATGTTCATAACAGGGTATCTGAAAATTGAAATTTTTATGTTTGTCTGCATATTTGCACACCAATATCTCTTGTCTTGAAAATTGTATACGGCGAAATGAAGCAGTTTTGATCTCCCTGTATTCTCAAGGCAACGTACACCATGAATACTTCTTTAGGTGTGGGCCACGATACTGAAGGCATTCTCGTTTTGGGTGCCACCAATATTCCATGGGTGTTGGACGCCGCAATTCGTAGGAGATTCGAAAAGAGGATTTACATACCACTGCCCGAGGAACCTGCGAGAGCTGTTATGTTCAAATTGCATTTAGGAAATACGCACACGGAACTGACCGAGAGTGACATTAAGGAGCTTGCCAAGAAAACAGACGGGTAAGACAATTACCTCGATCTAGCTTACAGATAATGTTTATACAGTCCGGTTTTTTAGCTGATCTCACTATTGCTACCTCGAAAACCGTAAGACCTAAGAGGCTGCTTGAGTGAAAATATCTATGACATATGGAATTCTCTGGTACATCTTGATTTTAACCATTGATTTATTGATTCCTGCAGATACTCTGGGGCAGATATTAGTATCGTGGTTCGAGACGCTCTCATGCAACCCGTTCGGAAAGTTCAGACCGCCACACATTTCAAGTATATTCGTGGGCCCAGTCCCAAGGACCCCGACACTATAGTTGACGACCTGTTGATTCCCTGCTCGCCGGGAGATTTTGGTGCTATGGAGATGTCTTGGATGGATATACCTAGCGAGAAATTGGCAGAGCCCCCCGTTACTCTGGTAGGTAGAAATAAGTGGAGTACCTCGAGGTACCGTACTGAGACTCCTTTCCATTCGCTGATACGCGGCGAGGCATTTTGATCGATTGTTTTGTTTTCAGAATGATATGTTGAGATCCCTAGCCACCTCCAAACCGACAGTCAACGACGAAGATCTCACGAAACTGAAGAAGTTCATGGAAGATTTCGGTCAGGAAGGATAGGTTAGGTAGTTTTTATGTAAAATTGTCTTCAATTGCAAGTTATATCTAGAAATTGTCACTCACAAGCATCGTTATGAAATTCCCGCTGCAGAACTATTCCTATTCGGCAAAGTTTCGGACGTTATTGTTGCTTTACAACTTTTTTTTTTATAAATGAAATTTGTTTTATTCTATACGATATGAAGAGCCTTATTTTGAATTAAGATAACATAGTTTATATTTGTATTCTTATTGAAATAAAATAGATGAGCCAAATAGAGTTTCAATGAGCCACAAGTTGAGGAGTCCCTGTTTCAGATGATCTCTCAAAATGTCAGGAATCAATAGGTGTACAGCTACATTTGGTGGAGATGCAATCCGATTGTTAGAAGTCAGTTTTGTGGTGAGTTTGTAGCAAAACACTTGTAATTTCCCTCGACTTATTGAAATTCTTCTTTGTTATGGAAAAATGACGGAAAACTGTCACTCTGAAGTTAGCTTCTTCTTCTTTAATTTATATGGCCGTGGCTTATCAGTCGAGAGCATTTGGCCAGACTCCTGTCCATAGTGAACAGAAGCTGCCACCCTAAGTTTTCCTTTTTATAATAAAATTTTTGCCCCAGATTTTGAATTCGACAAGCAGCACCAAATAACATGTTCAGCAATGTACAAAAAGTCGAGAAAGATAAGGATTTTCATAAGCGATTGTCCCGTAAAACTTCAATATATCATCTATTCGAAGACTAGAAATAACGATTCGTTTCCTAATATGTAATTTTCGGAAATCAGTCTAATACAAGAAATCCAAAGCTCTCTGGTACAACTGTATTACCGTTAAAGTAAATCTACACAAATAAGAGGACCTGAAAAGCAGAGAAACTTATAAATTAGTGAATATACCAAAGCCTTGGATCATCTTGCTCTTAAGTCCAGAAATAACATTTTGTTCATCAAATGCAACTCTACTTCTTCCGAACTATTCTATACAACCTATTGACAAATAAAGAGCAAACTTGTATTACCTTTCGTGGACGTTGCATATAAGAAAACAATTAACAAAAATCACAGCAGCTAAAAAAACATTGTGCAGGAGCATCCACTGAAAAAAAAACAACGAATATACATATTTATATATACACTCCCATATTTCTGCTTGGTTTTCTGGGTTTCACGAACTAGACTCCAGAATTTAGCGATTTTCTTTTGTTATTGCTCCTCTCGAAGAAGATGAAGCATATTTTACTGAAGAAAGTCCATACTAAAGTTTTCTGTATCTTCAATAAACAGGCTTTACTGTAACTATAAAAACTGACGCAGTAAGTCTGGAACAGGAGATGTGTTCATACTAAATGTGATAAGGAAATAAAGGACTTTGTGAATATTCTTCGAAGGATATTAATTGTGTAAGAGTAAATGTTTGATGTTCTCTGGGTTTTTAACCTTCCACAATTTGTAAAATGAATAAATCTAGCACAGAATTTGCTAAAATGTAATAACTGAAAAGTTTATTCTGAAAAAAAATCGGCTCAATATAAATCGCTGAAGAGGTCTAATAAGTCAGAACTTTTGGTCAGTCTTATAACGACCTCAATGTTCAGTCTATTCTGAAGAGAAAACGATGGTTATTCAGTAATAAATCGATGAACAGACGCCCCAGAAACCTCAGGTCGACAGACCTGAAACAACCCAGAATTCCAGACGAGGCCTCAACTTTTCTCACGGAGGACAATGTCTTAAGAAATCCGAATCGAAATAAACGATAGTCACCGAAATATCGTCCCTGAACACCCGGACTACGTCTTCCGGTAGAGTGAGCAGCTGCGAAATTTTCAAGTGATCTAGACCAAATTCTGTACCGCCCAGAGCATTGCGGATAATGTGGGTGGCTGCGTTTGAGTCCCTCGGCTTAGTTTTGAGGCCCTCCTTGCGCTGGAGCAGCATCTCGTTGATCTCGTTCAAGGTCATGTTCTTTCTAGGCAGCTTCAGCGGACTCAGAGTCACTTTGCCTTTCATGTGTTCGCCTGAAAAAATTAAAAAAATTATTACCTGGAAGTGACCCCACACCTGACACCATAAATGCCAAGATGTTGTCGAACTCTATACCTATTTCTGAACTGCATTGGTAAGAACGCTAGTAGAACTCCTGCGTATTCATTCAAAACAAACTTTTGAGTTTTCAAAAACACCCAAATTCAATTAAAATATCTCTATATACGAAAATTGGTTCAATTACCGACCTTGATAAGATCAATCATTGCAAACTCATATATGGAAAACCGTAGTCTAATAGTTAGCTGCAATGGAATTTTATCAAGTCCCAAAGATGTAAAACTAGGAGTGCCTCAAGGTTCTGTCCTGGGACCATTGTTGTTCCTCAATTTCATAAATGACCTGTCTGAATTCTTTTCTGAGTGTCACATAACCATGTTTGCGGATGACACTGCAATTACTGTGGCCGACAAAAACGAAGTTGAGTTGTCAGACAAAATAAATAAAATAATAGATAAATTCAGTGCTTGGTGTCAACGTAACAAACTTATTCTGAATAAATCTAAATCTGTTTCAATGAAATCATTTATTAGGAAAAATTTCAGCAGTGACTCTTCCACAATAAATGGTATTCGATCTTCCAGCGAAGTCTTGTTTTTAGGAACGTCTTTAGACGAAAATTTGACCTGGAGCGGTCATATTCAGAAGGTCTGCAACAAACTCAATTCCGCATATTACTCAATCAAACAATTGAAAAACACTCTAGATAATTTTGGATTGATGAATGTCTATTTTTCTATGGCTTATTCTCACATCAGCTTTAATATCATTTCTTGGGGATGTGCAAGGGAATTTCCACGAGTTTTTGTTGCTCAGAAAAGATTGCTGAGACTAATTTTTAATATAGATTTTCAAGATAGTTGTAGACCAATTTTCTTAAGAGAGGGCCTATTGACGGCACCTTCTTTATTTATCTTGAAGTGTGTCACTTTTGCCCGTAACAATATAACTGAATTTGTCACAAATGCGGATATACATGGTAGAGACACCCGTCATGGGAAACTGTTAAGAACCCCCTCACACAAAACGGCTCACTTTAGATGCTCCCCACTATTTAATACAACAAACTGTTATAATAACTTGCCGGCATCTATTAGGAAAATCGAGTCAGATAAACTTTTTAAAATTGAGGTGAAGAAACTTCTCTTACAGAAGTGTTACTACAGTCTTGAGGAATTCTTGCACGACACTTTTTCATGACATTTTGAGAGTATTTGCTAGAGCTTCTCCGATTTTTTATATAATACTTCTATGTTGTGAAAGTTTGTGGACGTGAACCATATTTATTGTTTTTGTATTGTTCAACTTCTGTAGTTTTATTTTTGTTTTTTAATTATGACTTAGCACATGTACTCAATGTACCAAAGTGTCAAATAAATAAATAAATATGAATTGCAACATAGACCGTTAGTAAAACTTTCAGATCAAAAAGTGGAGTAATACACATAAGATTATTATGAAACTGATTAATGATATCGCAATACCAAACCAAAAGTCAGTTGAATGTGTGATATCCAAAAAATTATTATCTCAATGTGACCCCACACCTGACACCATATACGCAAAGATGTTAAAAGAGGCCAAACTCTATAATCAGAGGCTTTGGAGTCAACTTGATGTCATGAGCTGCATGAATGAATATTAAATTCTCTTTTTTACAATGCAACACAAGTCACCATTTCCTTCAAATTTAATATGGCGGCACTATGATGACATCTATGGAAATATCGTCATACAACTTGATGTGCTGTTCAACAGATGATGTTTGCTCTGTTGTGTGCGGTCATTATTTATTATAACTTTCACATAATGCATTATTCATCCTTTCGTTTTATTGACCTACTTACTATAAATGTAATGGCGTTACTTGAAGCTCTAAATAAATTATTTATTTGTATTGACCCACAATTCAAATAACTCATGCAAATAAAACATAGAAAATATTTCTCTAAGTGCTCCAAGAAATCTGTGTTGTAACATGAATATACATACATACATACATATACATTAAATGGTTGAAATACTACTCACCAACAAGACGGACCGCCTGCAAAGGTGTCATGATATCCCACAACCCGTCGGTCGCTAGGATCAAAAACTTATCCCTAGGCGTAAGCCGATGATGCTTCACTTCGGGCAAGGCTGTCAAATACGGAGGAGTGTGATAATTGGGCGGTATTACCTGCTCCCCAAAATGTTTGGCAATCAGATTTATCATTATTTCTTTTTTCCATTTGAACCTGAAATCTCCCATCGAGCGGAGAGGTGCCAACTGACCCAGCAGCCGGTCCATTTTGATGACCGATAGGCACTCGTTGTACGGATGTTCTTTTATGATCCTGTCAACCTCGGATTGGTTATAGCTGTTATGTTCGATGGTTAGTTTGTTAACTTGCCAGGAGTTTGTTTCGGAAAGCGTACCTACAAGCAGAACACAGTCATTGGTTATGGTAATTATGATATAAGAGGCACTGCTTTACAGTTATTGCATTTTTAGTTGGAAAATATGTATCAGTGTATGAATTTTAACAATGGAAGGTGATATTGTGTGTTATAGACAATATTTGTCATATGCTATGATTTTGAAATGTTTTAAAGTGTATTCTACTTTAGGCGACTGCTTACCTAGCACAGCACAGCAATCCCCTACGTTGGCAACATGCAGATCGCCCCCATCGATGTGAGCCACACATACCACTGCTCCTGACATCGCCACAGACATGGTTTTGAAATTAATCGGCTGTCCTTCTTTTGGCAACGCTTCATTCGACAAGTCTTCGTCCAACCTCAGGAAGGCCTTTTCCATCGCTTTGGGAACTTCGATATTTTTGTTATAACCTAGCTGAAATCACAGTAGAGGATTTTGTCTATTCGCAACAGTTACATTTGAATAATAATAATAGTTCATACGCCACATAAAGTTATAAATAACTATATAATATCCCCCAGTAGGATAGGTCAGGAATAAGAAGCTACAGAAAATCAATTTACGCTAATGTTGACGTTTCAACCCTTCATAGAGTTATCCTCAGTTCTTGTGTATTTGAAGTCGCCTATTTTCAGGTGTTCGTATGCTTTTTGTCCATATTCTCTCCGGACGTTTTCTTTGTATTACTTCTCACAAGCAGCGCATCACTTCAAGATAATAGCACAGTAAAAATCAACCAGTAAGTCCACTCCCACTACTTTCATTCATAAATTCACAAAGTTCTCGATGACCTCGAAATGAAGTGCGGAGCCAATTTCGTTCTTTTACCATAGGCGTGCGCTCATATATAATAATGTATTTTTTACATCTCCCATTTTCTAATCACTTAATAATAAAACAAACAACAATAACCAACTACAAAAACTGAAAACAATAATAACAACAGCGAATAAGCTAAACACAATATCAATTTCCGACCGTTTATTATAACTAATCCGATGCCCGTGGTGCCGTTGAATCCTTCGATACTACAGCACTGAACGCGTTGGATAAGAATCTCATCCTAAGAGCGGTTGAAGGTCCCCGGCAACTCGGGGGGATCACGTGGTGAGACAGCCTACTGTTTGTATTATTCTACTGTGATAATTCTCCTTATTGGTCGTACGACCATGTGGCAAGAACTACCAATGCACTATGTCACGGTAATAAAGAAAACAGTGAGGAAAACCTTGACATTTGTTCGAACTTGGCATACTTTTTTTGGTCTTGGCCCTTGCATTGGAACGATTGGACTTTGGTTGGGACGACCGGACTTTGGTCAAAATTCAGCAATTTTGGAACGAATTTCGCTGCCACACGCTTCATGACCAAAATTTCCAAAAAAACTGCATGGCCTGAGCAAGCCGACATCCTCAGCAACTTCTCTAATGGCGATTCGACAATTTTTCTTCTTCCTATTACGAGGTATAGTGTCTACGTCCTCGTCGCTGGGAGTAACGTTGCTTACTACTGTTACAAACTTTCGTCTGTTTAGCAGACTTCCTTTGGTCATCGAGATTTGCACCTTGGCTCGTGCTTCCTATCTCCTCTTTATAGTTTCAGCCTGTTCTTTCTCCTGTCTAGCTTTCATATCCTCTAGTAATTGGTTTAGAGCTTGAATGTCTAGTTTTCCTCTTCTGGCTGGAGTCCTCTAGTTGAGGATGTATTTGTTAGGGGGAAGGCTTTTTCTCCTATTGGAGTTGAATTTAATTCTGGTCTCAGTCTCCTTGGTATTCATAGACTGTGGCCTTGTTACCAAGAATTACAGTTTCTGGTTGAACGTTTTCTTGGGCAGTGGGTATAGGTAGCTCTTGCATGTCCACATTTTGGGTGTAGCTGTCAGCAGTGTCTTCGCGGCACCCTTTAGAAGTGTGGCTCGTCCCCACTATGTGGCTTCGAGTCGACAATCTCTAACTTCAACCTCTGGTCCTGCTCTAGAATGGGCGTCTCAACTAGTTTCTAGAGCTGTTCCTATTTGCTCATTGAGCCTGGTTTTTTAGGTTTTCTGGGTTGGAATTGTTGAAGAGATTGATGGGGGTGTTTACGGGTTCTGAAATACTGGAAGTATTTTTGAGCACTTTTATGTCCATCACTATCAAACTAAACATGCTAAACAGCTGACACTGTGAACATATGTTCAAGACGAGTTTACCAACATAAAAAAATCGCTATTCGAATGTAAATACCCCGCGAAATTTGAACATTCACCTCATTTTTCGAACAGACCTCGATATCGGCACTTACCTCCGAAAGTTCCTTGAGAAACTGCGTCAAACTGGCTTCGTAGATATCTCTGACGTCATCTACGAACTGTACTTTGTCGTTGTGGGGCCGCACAAGTTCGGAACGGACGGGTAGAGACAAAGACTTGACGTAGTTCGTTAGGACGTCGTGAGGTAGCAGGCAAGCGGTTATATAGTGGAAGAGACGTTTCGCGATGACTTGTGCGCTTGCGGCGCCGCTGTGGCCGTCGAAGACCCCCGCAAGAAACCCTGCAGAAAGTGTCAAAATGTAAGAATATATCGACTGTCCGAAGAAAGTGTGTTCTAACCTTTGGTGAGCAGGCAAGTGGCCTCGGATCTGGTGTCTTCCATGGGATTGTTCGAAGCCAGTTGGTTCGAATCGTAAGATTTGACCGAACCTTCGTTGAATTCGTGCGTATTTTCATTGGCGCGGAGAATGACATCTACCTGCAACAAATAATGTTTCTAGAAACATGTGGATTCGTTTTCTGATGGCCAAACCGACGACGACGAATATAAACTTGACAAACAAACTTTGGTATTTACGCAGTGATTTTTATGAAGTACTTGATAAAGATAACAGTAATCGCTTTTATTTCTCAAATAAATTGTACACTTCATATTTAATTTCTCTAACCTGGTTTTTGCATGAACATTTTCCAGGAGGCTACAGGCAAACCTAAATACTGAATAACAGCAACAGTACGCCATTCAGTATCGAAGCGCAACATCCTGACAATTCTGGCGTAAGCCTTGGACGCCTTAGGCTCTGTTGGGCAGAGAGCCACCCGTCACCATCAGCGGGAGCATCTACCATATCCTATCGTAGGGTTATGTGGTGAAATTTTTCATTTGCGGATATCCTGGAGCTCAACAATGAAGTCTCCCCCTGCTTTTCCCCCTACCCCTCCTATACCTATCCTATTCCCCCCTCCACCTATTCCCGTATGTGATGTGTACAGAGAAATAGGTAATAAAGGAATGTTGATGTACACTTCATATTTGTGACCATGAACTCAAGATAAAATGGCGGAGTTCGTTTCATTTGGAGACAGGACCTCCACTGAAATGTTTTTCCACTTGGTTTTTCAGTTTGTCTTCAATCGAGGACTGCCTGCCCGGTACTGACGTTACCCAACAGGCTGAAACAGCTGTCTACTGGTGGCTTTCAAATTGAAATGAATTCGTGAATGATCGGAATAGTACTCCTCTATTTGTAAATTCATTTTCATGAAACTATTTTCCAGCAGCTTGATTGCATTACCCTTTCTTGATTATTTGGTCTGGCGTAGTCCTTCATGGATGGTACCACATGCTGAAGTGTCATTCCGGTTGTACATTCGTTCGTCTTCGACATTATCATGACGTGTCGGCAATATTCAACTTGCCATATTCATGTGCTCTGCTTTGCAGCTGAACTTGAAACTGAAGTCGTCTGATTGCCATCTTGATTTCATTCAGGATGGAGTCTAGCTCCCCTATCCATTAAGCGTGCTGTTCGTCAGAGGGACAAACGAGGCACCACTCACTGTGGCTTGTGTGACGGCAAAAAAAGTCCTCGAACTTCCATACCTCCCATCACGGTGCACCTCTTTCTGACTGGGGTGTTTGGTGAAAGAGCTATTCACCCGTTAACGGAGGGGATAAGGACCTTATTCGGTGGAGTGTCGGTGTCTTCTGTATCGGGAGAGGTCGTCTACAGCATTATCTAGTAATATCAAATGAACTAAGGTACACTACAGCTAGACTGTTTTTTTTTGTACCTTGGGAGCTGTCTGACTTGTCCATTTAGTCCAAGTCTCCAACTCTTGGGTTTATTGCGTTTATTCTCCCATCTTCTCATGACACCCATTCCATCAGTCTCGTTCCCTGTACTAGTTTGTACAGGTTCCGTTGGATGTTCGTCATATTCTTCTGGGCGTAGTTTTGTACGTCCATATATAGCCTGCCTCCTGTGATTCAGTGCCTCACATTCTTATAAGATGTGTAGAGCTCTACACATCTTATCTCTATCCCTTCGTTGCATAATCTGCAGCTGAGGTCTCCGTTGTACAGCCCCATTTTATTCAGGTGTCCAGTACTTTGTGTGCTTCTTATTGACCCATGTCCTAATCTGGTTTCGAACCAATGATTTTGGTACCCCCAGAGATGGTTCAGGACCAATTCAATGATTTCCAATACGGTTTTCTCAAAGGAAAACTACAGAAACATCATTGTTTGATTTCATAGATGAAATTCATTCTTTACTAGAACAAGACTCTATGGCTTGTGGTGTTTTTCTGGACCTGAGTAAAGCTTTTGACTGTGTGGATCATTCTGTTTTATTACAAAAGTTGTGTCATCATGGTATTAGGGGTAAAGCTTTAGATCTCATTATATCGTGTCTTAGCAACAGAAAACAAAAAGTTTGCTAAACATCAAACAGAAGTTTTTTACTCTGACATAGCTGATATTCATAAAGGTGCCCCACAAGGAAGTGTGCTAGGTCCTTTGTTGTTTATCATTTATATAAACGATTTTTCGGAAATTTAAAAAATACCTTTACCAAACTTATCAGTTATGCTGATGATTCCAAATTTTGTTATTCCTCTTGACTGCCATATGAATTTGGAAAGTGATGTATTCAATGTTGTTTCTACATCCTCAACATATTTCATTCAAAATGAACTTCTTTTGAATACAGCCAAAACTGATTGTATAGTTTTCAAAACAGTTAATACTTCCATCATTATTTCAGAGTATGTGAACATGGACCCTGAAAAGTTGAATTTTTCATCATGTACAAAAATGTTAGGGGTCTATCTAGAGGACAAATTAAACTTTGACATACATATTGAGCATCTTGCAAAAAAACTGGCTAGCAAATGTTATGCAATTAGAATTTTGAGTAGTCACTTAATACTGCTGCACTAAAAACAGCATACTATGGAATCGTATATCCTTTCCTCAAGTATGGAGTTATGTTCTGGGGTGGAAGCACTAACTCGGAACGCATTTTCATTATGCAAAAACGTATAATAAAGAATATGCTTAATATGAAGTTAACAGACTCCTGTCGCGGAGTTTTTAAAAGTAATAAATTACTTACTTTATATGGGATCTATATTTATGTTTGTGTTATTTTCGTTTATGACAACAAAGAAAAATTCATTATTCATTAACACATTATAATGTTCACCTATAGTCCGTTCATAATTTGTCGATAGCACAAAATGAGGGCCCAAGTCATAAAACGGTCGTAAAACTCGTAAAATCATAGGCGGAGGTTCCTGGGGTGTTTATTCATTAAATATAAAGCTTCAGTTTATATTCGAAACTTGCCTTGAAAGGGTGAAGTTGTTACGAACGAAAATAATTTTTGGTTTAGTACATTTTTTAATCGCTTAAGAAAAATATAACAGGAAAACTGATACAACGCATATATAATGATCATAAAAGTTGAATACATAAAGTATTCATCCGCTTTTAGCTTCGCACCATAATTTTTCTTCGATTTTATTTCAAGTTCTCACACTGGATCTAAATAGAAATACAGCTGGTACACGGCAATATCAAATTGACGATTCGATCCAGCACAATTCTCAGAGGAGCAGTGATAACTCCTTCCAACTTGATATATAACGAAGATATAATGGCAGACAACAAAAACTTGACCTTTCCGTTGAGCCAGTTCGTTAAGCTTGACACTAGACCCCTATCAGAAGCCCCAGGAAATAGTCTTGGTGTCAACTTATCCCAATCCAAATCTTCCAAAGCAAGAGACTCCACCTGGAAAGATCTCGCCTCAGAGGGATCAGTATCTACATTGGTACTATTACTATTCTCATCATTTGCTTCCGCAGTATCATTTCCACCACTACCGTTGACCAATCGGTCGAACCTTTTGTCCAAACTGTCGTGCAGGACCTGGAAGAAATTTGCCGTAGGTGTTGCTATACGGTTGACAACATTTCGGATCACGAGGATGATCGGATTGTCGCTGCTTTCGGTATTGACGAGACTTCGCAAGGTATCGGTTATGTTGACCAAAATATAGTCCACGCTCTGTACTATTGGCCCGAAAGCGTTCCGCACGAACGATCTGAAGGATGATAATAACAGATTTCTTAGGAAACCGACATCTCTCTTCCTCCTGGAGAGGACAGCTGTACCGTTATTAGCGTTAGTATCATCGATGGCAGTACTGTTGTTGACGGTACTGTCGCTGGAGGTGGTACTCTCAATAGTAGTAACCGCGATGATGTTTTTGATCAGATCCAAGCTGATTTCTTTGTCGAGGCTGATGTTGAGGTTGACCACGGTCGATTCCAGCGCTGTATTCACAGACGTCGTGATGAAAGTTTTCATAAACGCGTTGTTGGCGAACTGCTGATTGATTATAGTACTCGCGAAAGATTCGATAGCTTTGATGACGGCAGTAGTTTCGGTGTAAACCGCCGTGGATCCAACGGTAAGCACTTTGTAGCCTACTAGCTTGTTGAACCATTCCACGAAAGCTGTAATTCTATCAGTGGCTTTGTTGTAATTTTCGTTTAGGGTGTCGAGTCTGCCTTCTTGGGTTTTGACGACGACGTTGAGGAGTACGTCCAGAAGGTCTCGAGGAGCAGCTCTTTCGGTTCGGAGAAGTCTGGCTTGTTCTGCGGGAAGGTCCAGTATTGAATATAAATGAAAAAACAATTGTTATGAATGTATATACTTCTTTAAGAATACAATATCCGCCCGAATTCTCAAGGAACTCGAGGAAAACAACAACTTTTTCGAGCCGAAAGTATCCACTGGTAGAAAGGGGTTGGTTATCGATGAAGAAGTGAAGAATTCTGTTAGGAGAACAGTACACTCTTTTTACATAAAAAACGAAATACCTACATTAAATAAAGTTTTGTCAGTTATAAGTGAAATGTCCAAATAAGGGAGTCGTCGAGATTTATACCAAGTAGTTGGACAGCTTTTCCTTCTGCAATTGAATCATTCTTGGTTTTTTCCATCAATTGGTGGATATAACGAAGTCTATTTCTTGTCCGCCGAGGTCGCCGGATCTAACATCATTGGATTTTTATTTTTGGGAAATGATAAAGTCGGTGGCTTATCGTATTTCCGCTACCACACGGAATAATAATCTGGGAGGCATTTCAAATAATTATGTAAGTATGTCCTTTCATTTGAGCCGCATAAGAACAAACTTCTTGAAGAGGTATGAAAAATGTATCGAATATGATGAAATACATTTCGAGCAGGTGTTCTGAGTTTGGTTTTTACGAATCCAGTGTGACAGAAGAGATTTTCACTTGACGAAATATTTCTCTGTGATTTTATGCGAATCAGCTAATCATTTCATAAATATTCGAAACAATGGAACTAAATTCTTAGCCAAACAGATCAACCGACGTAGTTGAAGCTTAGAATATTTTTTAGAATTACCTCACGTAATGAAATAATATTTGTTCTAGATATATTTTATTGTTTCCTTAAAATGATGATTCGTCAGAATCCATGATTTTGAAGTTATATGGAGCATAAAGTTACCAATCTTGCCTCTAAAATTTTCAATATTGTTCATTAGCACAACCCTGTACAAGTAACAATGTACTTCCCCTTCGACAAAGATGATGAGAATCCCACCCCCATAAAAGGACTAAAAAAAAGTTTAGTGCTACTAGCATAATCAAGAACCTAACATATAAATCTGAAAAACTTCCCTTATGATGTTTTGCAGCAAGGGAGATGGAAATTGAACTTGTGTGTCAGCTGCAAAAACAGCTTAATACTTGATGAATAGGTTGAAGTTAAACCAATTTAGAAAAACTACAAAACGTAATGTTCTAACTTTACATGCTCCATGGTTGTTGGTGACATAAGTTGGTAACAGTGTTGAGTATATAGTTTTGTTAGGTTTTGAGCAGGTTCTTAACGTTGTGGATGTCGACAAGTAGATATACTTTTTTGTAAGCATTTCACAAGCAAATAAACCGGAATAAAGGATTTCGGGGTTTCAGTTGCATGATAGGACAGTGTCAAATACCCAATTCTTTGTATAAAATGGTCAAAATTCCATTACACAAAGAGACTACAGAAAAAATACCGATTTTACTCCTATATCTTCGTCTGTAAACGTATGAGAATACAAGATAATGACCATGCATTGAATCAAAACAACCAAAAAATTCCTTCAACGTCAATGACGATATTTTTCATTCGGAGCTACTGAGATTGAAGACAAAAGTACCCCAGGGTAGTATTCTCGAACCAATTTCCTTATTAATCTGTATTAATAACATCGCATCGAAATTCTAAATCTGACAATTCCGCTTTTTGCTGCGATAATTTTGTTGGGGGTTAAAACGAGCACCAATATGTCTTGACACAATCATGTCGCTGCACAGTATTCTGGAGATTTTAACATTAAAGATGATTATCAGAGTGGTCGACCTACAGTAACCCAGGACTAGGATTTGAGAACTCTCTATTACGTCTAAGAGTTTCTGAAATAAGAATGTCGAAGGTATTGAACAGTCTAGAGTAATCTAAGTTCAAATCGCCCCGGTTTGTAAGAAAGACATTATTCTACAGTTCTTCAAAAGTAGTCTTGTGCACATTGAAGCGCGCAGACCAGATTATAGACGTATATTCCACTTTGGAGCGAACAAAAGAATTTTTTGGTGCTTTCCAAACGGCAGGAGAAAGATCTCAACATATTCGTTGAAAAGTATACAAATTCAGTGATAATTTTCTTACAAGCTTCAGAAATCAGGATATTGCGGACTTGAGAGTGCATAACCCTGACCAATTTTCAGGATTGTGTCTAGGTCTGGATTTATGTATCAGTAGTTGCTGTAAGAACTCCTCCTTCAGGTAGTTCATCACCGGTAGATAGCTTGTGGTCAAAGCAAACCCCCCTCCCCGGCTATCTTCAAAATATATTTCCAACTTCCATCGTCACCTACCTCGGGACTAACTATTTTATCTCTACCAAAAAATATATGTACGGCAATCCTGAATGGTAGAAAAATTACTACAAACTGAAGTAAAATTGTATTTGAAATCAGTGCTTTTTTCTTAATACAGTAACTATTCTGTTCTTAACTATAATTGGTGATTGATCAAGTTTGAATCTGTAGAAGGTCGAATCTAGCAGCCATCTCATAGGAAAGGCACCGATAATCTGATGATGAAATACACAGTTAACAAAATGACTCGCGAAAGTGTCGGAAAACGTCGAGAAAACCATTCCAGGGAGTCGTATACTAAAGACATGGCATGTGAAACTACTTTCTCAGACTTGGTTTCTTTAATGTGTTCAACTTTGGAAGGCAAAAAAGAATCAATCGGTTCTTCCACCTCCTGGATGCTAAGCAAAGAAGAAATAGTGTGTGGGTGTTCTACATCTGCTTCTTCATACACAGGAGAAATGAGGTCTCTCATGTAAGACTCAGGTTCATCTGGAATCTTCTCAGTAGACGAAAAAGGTTGAATTCCCTGATCTGGATTGCCTGCCTGATCTTTTATGGATTCAGGCGCATTTATATTCATTCCCTCATCAGATTCAGCTTCCACATTAGGTTTTTTGTTCAGATTTTGTAGGACTTGTACCAAACCACCAAAGTTGAGCTTCGCTGCATTATCAGATAATTTCTGCTCGTTCAGTGACTGCGCAAAGGGCTGAAATCTATTCCTTGCTTCGTCAAATTGTTCCTTTAAATTTGGACTTTTGAGGATACTGTTCGAAAATACTCCCAGGACTCGCCTTCGTTCTCTCGGGGATCTTTTCAAGATTGTATGATCGTTTTCAGGACGATTCGTAATGTCACCTCTTACCGTTTCATGGACGATGCAAAACACCTAAAAATAGGTCCAAGACTGAACGAATTCAAGATGAACTAACAGGGCTTCCATGGCGGCATGTCTCAGTTCGAATGAACGGAGTCATATTATGAAATTTATACAGACCCGTGGTACGCCCACAATAATAAGATGGAAAATCAAATTATCGAGGCGTAATAAAACTAACTCAAAAACTAAACTCTAAAATCAAAATTAGTCAGCCGGTAGAGGGTTGGTGGGTAAAATAAATTATTTGACACTGAAGATAACAAAAAAAACAATATTTATTAACTTCCCTCTTTGGGTAAGTACCTACCCTTTTCACGAAACAATGTTACCCTGGATAGACTTTCCGAAAGTTAGGGCCGTCGGTGTATCGGAGCGTATTCTTCAACTCTATAAATCCACGGTCGATCAGCTGATCGATTTTTATATTCTCAAATTGAAACTGTCAAATGTCTGAATAAGTGTAATATGGTGCATGTGCAATTGCAATTATAAATGCAATATATATCAATAAACAGATGTTTCAAATAATACAAGAATGATATTATTTACGAATGTTTTCCCCGTTAGTATATATACTATTGGTTCACAGACGTCTTGGTAAGTAGCTAGTTTTGATTCAAAATAATAAAGATGTCAGTTCAATGCATAAGGTTAACTAATATTTACTATGTTCTAGGTGCTAACTACAAAATACCACTAGTTGCTCTTGCGAGTTCATGGAGTATTCTTGGTGATATGAAATGTTCCTTATATGTTAAAAAGAAGCAAAAGTTATGCAAGGCAAAATTAATAAATGAAGTAGATTCTACTTGTATATTCCTTTGGAGGTTTCCTAGCAGAGGAAATCAAGCAAGCTCTATCTACTAAGTAGGGATGAAGCTGTCTCCAAGCTGGTAGGTGTAAAGCAAAGTTCTAAACATGCATGCTAGCTAAATTGGTGTATAGCTATAGGACATAATGATGTGGGAGCTGGTAATATCCTTTGTACAGAGAAAACGTAAAACTAGGTACTAAACAAAAAGAGACCTTCGATGGAGGGTGGTCTCGGAGAGAGTTTCGTCAGGAAACGTTTAAGGTTAGTTGAAAACCAAAATCCACATTGGATGGTTGAAATATCAATCCTATGACAATTTTCTTGATGGTTTTACAACTACTTTTTATTTTTCAGACTCAGAAAATCCTCTATAACTTGAGAAAATCAGAACCACATGTTCCACTTTGATAAGCCCACAATAAAAAAGGAAAAAGGAAACAGATAGATTCTGGAGGTCAAACTAGGAATATTAGTGACATTTCATCAAAGTTGAGAATACTGAAGATGAATGACATCCTTTCTGTCAAATTTTGAATATTTAGCAGGGTTGGATCTTTTAGATAACCTCTATCCAAACAATAACAAACTAACCTATATGAAAATGGAAAGTTAAGGAATGGTGATAANGTGTTTTTTTTTGTAATACACCTGAACTATGTTTTTACTTGTTAGCTCTATATCTGACTTATGGTTTTTTTCAATTACTCTCCTATCTAATTTTTTGCTCAACTCTCCTAAATGTTTACCTTATTTGTCGATAAATTAGTATTGTATGTATGTATGTATGTATGTATGTATGTATATGTGTATGTATGTGTATTGTGTGTATATAGGCAAATATTAACTGTAACATGCTTGTTAATAGTATTAATATGTCTTGTTATTGGGATTTATTCCTGTTTAGACATTAAACAATTTTTGGTTTTGTTTTAATATTCCTAATCCCCTCTTTCCTGGACTCAAACGATAATTTCCCAGACAAACAGGACTATTACATAAAATTCATTAGAATTACTAATTTACAGGTGAAAAATAAGGTATTTCCGTCAAATAATGTTTGGGAAATCCCTTCCAACATCTAAGACACATTCAATAATCCAATTAACTGAAGGACGACAGTTTTGGACACGGCACACAATCGACTGGAAGCCCTGAATGGAACTTAAAAACAAAAGATCTACTCACAGTCAAAATCAAGTAAGACACCTTCATTTTGAAGGTTTTCCACACAAAATGACACCACACAATATTCATCCCGCATCAAATAATATTTAAAACAATGCCCGTGATCCATCTTCAAACAATCTTATCTGTTAAGGTTTCTTTAACACGAGTTACTCTCATATAATCTGTGTAGACTTTGCAAATACCCTAGTACCGTGAAATGTGCTTTGAATTTTCATAGTCTACAAGATAAGCAAATAATTTTGGCAAATGTAACAATGATATCAGTAACGGCAATGGTGAAGGTGACTGGAATTTCTGCGGAACCTCCTTGACATCCTTCAGTGTAAAAGGAAAACGGGTTGATGCCTAATTCATTGAAAAATCAACATCAAAATCGCTCACGAACAGAATCATGTACAATTATTTGAACACCAGTTGAACTTCCCTCATTTTAAATAATAACAAAAATAATAAAAAGTATTTCCAAGTAAACTATGTCAAATGTTGACTTTGGTGTTGATTCTGCAAACTCCTTATCATAAAGCTGTTTTTCTCATGTTCAATTCCATAAACTATAACCAACGATTTGCACTGCACAAACTTTATTTTCAAAAATATATCAAGATACATTTCGCCATCACACTAAATTTTTCGTAGTTAAATACCTAGAGCATATTATATAAATTCTACATCAATAATAATACGTCTAGAAAGACTAGGATAACATCAGTTTCTAAGAAAACAAGTTCAGTAATAGTGATCTATTCAAATTCAGTTGGTCATTCATAAAACTGTTTGAATTTTTAAGTTTAATTGCCATTGCTTCCAAATGGTTTAGCTTTGAACCTTCATTTTCTATGTGTAAAACATCGAAATATCCGTTAAAGATACGGTTTTCTTTCAAAAGATGATTTAAATACGTTGAACTTGTTTTCTTATTCACATAGCTCATATGATGGTCCTGGATGCGATTCCTAAATGTTCTACCAGTTTGACTAATATATACCTCAGGACAAGTTTCACAATTTAATTTATATACTCCTGATTTCTCGAATTTGGATGTTTGTTTTGTCTATGTTATTTTTAACTATCTTTCCCAAAATATTACCTGTTCTATGTAAAAGTTGTAATAGTAAACATTCTCCCAATATGGAGATTTCTTCTTGGCAAAATATTTCTCTCTAATTTCTATTGGTTTTGAAATATTATCATCAAACCATGGTTTCAAGTCAATTCACAAACCTGATTTGTTTTTCAAACATTAACCTTTGAAAAACTTCTTCAGTTTTATCATAAACGCTATCAGCATCTAACGTATTTGATTGTAAAAATTCTTCATAGGGATTCACGAGGCCCTTTTTACAGTTTTCTTCTTTGAACCCAACTGAAATTTATGAATTTTTTTATTCACACTCGCTTCAATTTCCAATATTTGCATTTTACGGTCACTCAGAGCATAATTGATTATTGACAGTTTAGATCTCGAAGAATTGGTTACTATAAGGACAACTAATGTACTAATTCTTTCAACTACGAAAAGAGTTGTTACTTTCAGATTGTGTATGAAAGTTACTGCTTTGCCTGATCTACACATTGAATCTGTATATTTCAGAACAACTAATAATTGCATTGCATTCATTTATAAATAATTCTTAGTCAGCACGGAACCTATTAAAAAAAATTGGGGTCTACAAGCTCAAGTGCGAAGACTGCAATGCCTTATATATAGGCCAGACCGGCCGTAGTTTCAACCAGAGATTCTAGGGACATTTGAGAAGTTACAAATTGAATAAACTAGATTCTAACTACACCAATCATCTTATAGGAAACACTCACAATTTCACCCCTCAATACGTCTGTCTACCTAACAATGCAACCTCTATTACTTAAGGAGACATCACATCCTAGGTTAGTTTATCACTCGCTCCGAAGACGACACAGTTTGTGGAAACAGCTGTTAGCATTAAATGTTAGTGTTGTCCAATTGAAATGAAATCGCCATATTGAAAGCTGAAATTGTAGAACAAGACCTACACATCTTTGTATAGAGTAAATTTTTGGAAATCGATCGCTTCCCTCCTTTCTTTGAAAGATTCGCATTGTATGAAGAAGGAGAAATAGAAAGCCAAAACGTTTTGTTTCCAAAACCATACCTCTTTCAATTAATCATCATAGAGTCATCAGACTTACTTGATTTCGGGATGAATTAAACTAGCAGTACTTGGAAATTACTACTAAAAGTAGAATAACAAGTAATTAAAATTGTGAAAGAGTACGAAATAGGTTTGTTGAATAGCAAATATTGTGAGGGGAGGGGGATTTCATCAGATTATAAGTATATATTTAGGTACAACAAGGCCAATCATATCACATGCAATTCAACAAAATCTCTTTTATTTGTTTTCACAGATAAAGTGGTAAGTTTGATTCATGATTTACCAAAGAGCGGACTAGTATAGCCACGAATACTCGAAAAACATGTCAGCATTTTTGAAAACACTACAGATACTATTCGTAAGTACTCAGAAACATTTCAAATGAGTAGATAAATGATAGGAGAGAAAAAAAAGAGCACAAATATTTAAGTAATCCTTTTCAAACAACACGATTTTGAGCAATAACCAGTAGATAAAGACCCCTAATTTTCCTTTGATGACAATTATTGTCACAATAATAATATTTAGTGACCTCTGTGATGATTGTTGGATACTGAAGTATTTATAAAAAACATGTAATTGAAATAGACTTGTAAACATTTTAATGTGGCTTTGATATACCAGTAAACTCAAAAATCTTAGCTAGTAATTGCAATATATTACTAAAGATCTTAAATTATAAACATCAATAGTGAATGTTTCAATGTAAATTCCACCATCATCAGAAAANGAGAACTGAAAAAGACAGACATTTTACAATTGAGGTTTTTTACATAAAAAACAAACATTCAAACATTGAACTAACTAATTTTTCTGCATTTCCATGCGACACAAACTCAAAACAGTTTTTCTTGCAGATACTACTGGCAATCACCAGAAAGATGGCTGCAGCATCTGAATCTACACACCTCCTGAAAAGAGAATCCCGTGCTGTTGCGAGACTATTCACACCGGCCGTCAATTCTGCTCTGTCGGTCTCGAATACAGTTTTAACAACGATATGCAGCAGTGTAAGAACCTTAACCTCACTCATTGAGGTTCTGATTCGTACGATTATAATTTCTCTGGTGAATGTAGTCAATGCACTGTCGTCAACGTTGGGAACGATCTTTCCGCAAATTATTGCGCCAGTAGCGGTGGTGCAAAATGTATTGACTTTCGCGAATCAGACATTGTCGAATACAACTAATCTGGCGGCTACTTTTGGGTGCACTGTTACCAGTGGAATTGGTTCTGTTATCAATACTGTGGGAAGTATCATTATAAGTATTCCATGAGAAAATATATTTTTAAGCCTCACATTTTGAATTTTTTCTTGATATCTTGAAACAAACTTAATTAATTGAATGTTACACACTGTAATTTATTTATTTCGAAATATTCATCTCTCCCAACTATCTACACCATAAGTTCTGGTAAATGCTTGCCAGAAAACAACAATTTCCCCGGCTAATACCAGGCTGGATATTGAATTGTATCCGACAGACATTCATGTTTAACTGTATACATGTATTGATTCATGAGGGGAAGTGAAAAACTCCGCCGCCAACAGTAGATGAAAAACAAAAATAGAAAAATAAAAAAGGGAGTTGTATGTGTTATTTTGGAACAGTGGTGTTACAGTTCTCGTATTCTAAACATGTGTAAAGATCTTCCTGATATTTCAGTGTCTCTTTGAAATTATTTATCTAATGATATTCAGGTCATTGATTTGTAACAGTTGTGTGAATTTATGAAGCCACTTTTCAAGTCGTTTATAAAACCTAGAAACAACAAAGGACCCAGGTGTGAACCCTGCGGAATGCCTGGTAGAATCTGTTTATGTTCAACTATGATAAAAAAAGACAAGACAGTAGCCATCCCTACTGGTTACTCTGTATATCAATCACAGCATATTTTGAAATGAGCAAGTTGTGATCGACTTTGTCAAAAGCGTACCAGTTTACAAGCAGAAATACAAGTTTGAAAACTTACCTCTTGTGGCGATAACTTAGCAGCCCTGGTCTCTTTCCTAGTTTGAAAATAATCAGTAGAATGAAACCTCCTGCAATCACAGCTTAAGGGGCCTATCTCTTTGGTATCTCTTTTCATTACCGAAAACAATTTTTTACGAAAAGGCATGTAAGTAGAAAAATAAAGTCCTGGAGATGAGGTAACATATTTGCTAGTTTTCATAAGCTGACGAGTCTTGTAGCAGATAACCATCCTCCAAAGACTACGAGCACGCGAATAAAATTAAACAAAATGAAATGAAAAGTTAGAAAAATACGTTGTCCGAACACATTTATGTTAGATTCCACATTTTATTTGTATTGTACTATTTTTGTCCTTTAATGACTTTTATCATGAAATAACTTAATGTCGATATAGGTTAACGGGTCTTCATCTTCTATCTTCTCTCTTCTCTTCCGTTCATATTCTACTTCGGACTATTGGCCGCTGCTTTTAGAATAGTCGAGTCATACGAATGTCTCGCGGCAGTTGGAACTAGGTCGCCATTCTATCTATTGAAAACAGTTTTCCCTTTTCGGAACAAATTTTCAGTTCAGTGAGTTTAGTGCTTTGCTATGGTCTGAAGGAGGAACATTTTAATTTCACTTTCTGTGATATTATTTGGAAGCACCATTTTGGCGATATTTTTCTTAGAAACTACAATTCGGAACAATAAAAGAAAGCGCCAAAAATAGGAGAGGTTGAAACAAAAACAACGAACAACTTCACACTTTCAAATAGATGACGTTTCAAGGTTTTACTTTTTGACTTTTGACTTGACAACTCGTCATTTGAAAAAAAAAAAAAATAAAAGCAAAGCTTGAGGATTTCTTATTTTATTTTGGTTTCTCGAAAGAATGTGAAAAATACCACCAAAATATCAATCAATACTATGAAACACCCTTAATTTGCGCAAGAAGAATCAGTAAAATTACGTAGGTTATCACNAGCATTTCGGTTCTGTGTGTCTAATCTGAAGATTAAAATTCCAGGAAGCACGATATTCCAGGTGTGAAGATGGACAAGCTGCATTCGAAACCTTGGAAGAAGTATATAACTCGACTGTTGAAGGTGTTTAAACTGCCGTCAGAGCTCACGCCAAATTTGAACAAGAAGACGAAAGCAGGGGCGCTCAACTTTCTTTTGCACAAGAGGTTCGTTGACAATACTTTCGGTAAGTATATTCAGGATGTGAGTAAATATTTTTATTTTGAAGTAATTTTTGCTCGAATTGAAAGGGTATATTTTTAGGAGAGCCTGAGGAGAGGTTTTAACTTTCTGCTTCTCAATATTTATCCAAAAGACAGCGGACTGATATATTTTTTGTCACAATCCTCACAATTATTTTTTCATATTTATATTCATATTTATTTATTTATTTATTTGACACTTTGGTACATTGAGTACATGTGCTAAGTCATAATCAAAAAAACAAAAATAAAACTACAGAAGTTGAACAATACAAAAACAATAAATATGGTTCACGTCCACAAACTTTCACAACATAGAAGTATTATATAAAAAATCGGAGAAGCTCTAGCAAATACTCTCAAAATGTCATGAAAAAGTGTCGTGCAAGAATTCCTCAAGACTGTAGTAACACTTCTGTAAGAGAAGTTTCTTCACCTCAATTTTAAAAAGTTTATCTGACTCGATTTTCCTAATAGATGCCGGCAAGTTATTATAACAGTTTGTTGTATTAAATAGTGGGGAGCATCTAAAGTGAGCCGTTTTGTGTGAGGGGGTTCTTAACAGTTTCCCATGACGGGTGTCTCTANTACCTTCTTTTGTGCACGGAATGCCTCCTTAAAATGACAGGAAGAACCCCAGAAGATCAGTCCATACTGTAGGGCTGACTGAACTAACCCAAAATAAAGTGTTCTTAAAACGTCATGTGAAACAGTTTCTCTTAAGTTTCTTATTATATAACAGGAAGTGCTCATTTTTGAACACAATGTTTGTATGTGTGCTTCCCATGTTAGTTTCTGATCCAAAGTGAGACCCAGAAATTTTATAGTTTTTTTACTCTGAATGGAACTGGCAGAGACTACCAGGTATAGCTCAGAATTGGGTGCAACATTTTTTGGCAGAAAACGCATGTGGTAAGTTTTGGCGACATTCATCGTGAGACCGTTATTTAAGCAGTAGTTACTTATTTCTTTAGAGGCCACATTACTCTTTTTTACTAGTTGTTCAGTATTTTTATTTGACATAAGTATATTTGTGTCATCTGCATAGACAATCATCTGATTTGACGTAGTGCAGGTATCTTTAATGTCATTTATAAAAATAATGAAAAATAGCGGTCCCAGAATGGATCCTTGGGGTACATCTAGATGTATTTCTCTCGCGTTTGATGTCACGCCATCTACCACTGTGATCTGTTCTCTATTCATAAGATATGATGTAGCCCAGTCATGTGCAATACCCCTGACACCAATGCCATCTAGTTTCATGAGCAGTAGCTTATGATTAATTGTGTCAAAAGCACGACTGAAGTCATAAAATAAATTAAGAACGTGATTTTTATTGTTCAGAGCACCGTAAATAAAACCAATGCAATCCAGAAGAGCTGTTTTTGTTGATTTATTGTTTTGTGGGAAATTATTTTGGGAAAGTTCCAAAATAATTGATGTGTAATGGAAAAGCGGTGAACTGATGAAGCTGTTGTTAGGCTTAGACAAAGCTCCACCAAAAATTTGAGTACTCTGAAACAATCGAGGAAGCTGCATCAAAAACTGATTTGTTTTTTGAAGCGGATGAGTTCGGCGGACATTCTGAAATCAATCCTCTACTTTTCCAACTTTGTAACTTCAGAGAACTGAAAAAGACAGACATTTTATATTGAGTTTTTCATCTCAGGCGACGAGAGTTGGAAGGAAATGGTCCAGGAAGCAATTGGCGACGAAGAGGAGTTGCAGAAAGCACTTATTTATCAGGTATCGGTTGCAGTTATTATATTTAAGCTTTTGCCGGGCAATAACAGAAAATTATTCCGCTAGGTTGCCGCGTACGGAGATTTTTCCGAGGCCCTGAGGTGGGCGCATTTCTATAACGTGGACAGGAAAGACTGGCCTTACACTGTGAGAATGCACGAAGAAAATCCAGATGGGAATCGGTAAGACTTTATTTGAATGCTTCGAGTTTCCTGAGTCTTTATTTCTCCCCATATTCACACATTTTTGTGCTTCTCCCTTACTGCAATGAATGAACATTTCTCAAGAACTTTCAAGAAAAATAATTTTCGATATGGTGTCTGTTGGCTTATAAAAATCAAATTTATAACAACTTGTCAAAGAACTTATTCAAAAAACACACTTCAATGTGAGGTTTCCACTTCAAAGTCCACCAAACGGTGACACGTGTTTCGTTTTACGATACCATCTACGGGCGTTACAGTACTGTTTGTACAAGACCTGTGTTGTACTTTCATAGTACAAACTTTTAACCTTTCTTACAATTTTTACCTGAACTATCATTTTACCTACTTTTGAGATTGTCCTAATTACCAATTTCCTTATTGAAAACTAAATTCAATTAAAGGGAACATTCAAATCTATTTGATCACTGAGCAACTGTCCTGAATTTATTTTTCCGTTTAAAAACCTACTTCTATGCTCTTTCATTCTTTTGGAGAAACTTCTTGCGGTTTGGCCAATATAACATTTTCGACAAGAACGACAAGTCACCTTGTTTGCTCCCGATATAGCTGAACTCCATGTTTATCGTCCTTAACGAATTTACTCAAATTATTATTAGTTCTGTAAGCTTTATTCGATTCTTTGTTTTTTAAGAAACGAGCGATATTATTTGTAGGATCTCCAAAGTTAGTTAGAGTTATCAAATGGTTAGTATCATTCTTTTAAACTGACTAGAGCTGGTTCTGAAAATTGCTTNTTTTAGTAAAATATCATTATTTTCTAGATATTCAATGAGTTGATTATAAAGTGCGAATTCTAATATTTTTTCAATACAAGGCAAAGTGTTGATTGGTCTAAATACCCAGGATTTATTTGTGTTAGGGACTTTCTAAATTGGCACAAGGACACTGGTCTTGAGCTCCTTCGGGAATCTGCCAGTGCTCAAAGATGTATTTATAAAATGCAACAATGCATGTCCTATAACACCAAACGTTTTTTTAATAAGTTTGCAATTGAGTATTTCACTGTAGTCATACTATTGTATGCTGTTTCTTTATGTTGATATGGATTTATAGATGAATTGTGTTCATTTCTACAATACAAGATTTTGCATTCTTTTATATTTTACTGGGAACATCGATTTCACTTCGTCTAATTGGTTATTATAGGGCACAGCAAAAGTTGACAATACCCGATGAAGAATCCTGGGACAACCAAATTGTACAGGAACCAGTTGAGTATCATAAACTTCTCCTACCGCCTAGCAACGTACATCTTATCGACAATCCCGTGAAGTTCGAAAATCTCCTGGATATCGGTTTCCAAGTAAGTTATTCAACTTCAACAAACCCTTGTTTTTGCTCCGCATAAATTCAATTCATTTTTCAAGGAAGTAGACCTCATCGGGGTCGACTGTGAGTGGAAACCAAGTTTCGGGGGCCAAGTCAGCGAGCTCGCTTTGATGCAGATAGCCACTAGGAAAAATGTGTTCGTTTTTGATATAGTTAGCCTTAACAGTCACAAGTTGCCGCATCTTTGGCAAGAGCTTGGAAAATTCATATTCAACAACTGTCATATCCTGAAAGTAGGTAAGACGATTTCTTCACACGTATGTTCAACAACTTAGTTAGGGCGTCCTGGGTTACCGCACGTTTCTACTGATTGGTTTTAGGTTTCAGTTTATCGGGTGATTTCCATATGATCAGGCACGCCTTGCCGGATCTCAACTTCAACACCAGGCAAATGGGTTTCTTGGATTTGGGTTCATTATGGAAAAGCATTGAGAAATTTCCCGGAGTTAAATTACCGTTTGAAGGTGAGTGGAATTGATAACTCAACTAACTGTAGGCCTGGAAATATAAAGATACTCATTTGTATAACCTGCGTGGAAAAGATAATATTCACATTACCAGCACAACACATCGAAACACTATTAAACTCCTTATATTCCGAAGGTGTTCAGGAAATAATCAAGTTACTTCAAATACCATTAAAGCGTCCACTTGGCTGAACTTGTTGAAAGAACAACTGAAATAACTTTTAACTGAATAAATGTTGTAATCTTGAAACTCAAACAACTGGTTACTTTAAATAAATATGTATGCTGTCTTTGATATTTTTTTCTTTTTATCTTAAAATCCTAAGCGATATTGTTTCATTTTTTCTAATGGGCGTATTTCATTTGTACATATCTATTTATCTAATATCTATTTATTTGTGAACTAAGTGAGAGGTGTGGGGTTGTTTTGAGTTTTTGGTGTCAGGTGTGGGGTTATTTTGAATTTTTGGTGTCAGGTGTGGGGTCATTTTGAATTTTTGGTGTCAGGTGTGGGGTTATATNAGGTGTCAGGTGAGAATTTATTTGAATAAACCATACGAAATATGTGTCTTGAATATATAGAGTGGCATTTATTCATATCATATTATTTTCAGTTAATCCTAACCTTCAAAAGATAGTGTACAAAATGGGACTTGTTTTCTCGTTTCCACTTTGAATTTTGTGAAGTCTAAACTCTCAAAGTCCCTGGGCAGTTGATTTTATTCTGTATTTATGGGATTCTGTTGTGAACTCACATTTTTTCCCACAATTTCAGGCATGCAATGGAAACAATTTCGTTAAGGTGTCTCGATCGACCATGAACACTCTGATTCAGAATGATGCCCCTAAGTATTGTCCCCCTCCGCCTTGTCTCTACGAAGACGAGGCCACCGGATTTTCCAGCGAAGAAGATTACTTTGAAGAAGCTTGTCCGCCAGTCTCCAGAGACCGAAAATGGGACCTATGTAAGTATGCGCCACACTTGGGAAGATTCCGTTACCCCATACATGGTAGATGGCATCGGCTCCGAGGCTGATCCTTGCGGAACACCCACACATTTTTCATCTGTTTTCAGATCCGGACGAGAAGGTGGACGTCGGTCTCTGCCAGACGAGGCTGGGATGCAAGATTCAGGTGAAGGCGGTTCCCAGACCTGTCTTGGAAAAGTACGACTTTTTTTACGTATGCGAGGAATGTGGAAAGGTGTACTGGGATGGGTCATACTTTGAGAGGGTCATCCAGGGCAGGCTTCAAGGAATTGTGCAATGAGATTGGGATTGTTTTATCGATTGTTGGAATTTTATTTTAAGAAGTTGATTAATGTTTTTATCAGTTTGGACGTCCTTCATTAAACATACATGCCACTATTCATTATTGGATTTTTTATTCGGGTGTGTTGGGATTTTTACGGGCGAGTTACTAGAAATCAGGGATTGGTTCCTGACTTTTGATGAGGTGTATCTGCTTCTTGAAGAGAATTGTCTTGTTAATGAAATGTATTAATCGTCATTACTGTCGAATCAAGTGAAGTTGCCGGACAGGCCCTCTATCCAAAATTTGGCACATTCAGAGAAAGTGATCATGGGTTCGAGAATTATATACTCCGAGTAGACATATCAAAGCATGAAAATTAGCTCTTTGCTAACAAATACAGGTATAGCATTTCCAATACCAAT